TCGAACACTAAGCGTGGTTTAAGTGGAATTTTATTTGGGTTTATTACTGTAAAGTGTGGAATAAAATAAACATTTTTAGACATTTCAGAAATATCCTTCTCGGATAGCTTACGAATGTATTCCTTTGTTTCATATTCAATAATTTTATTATTATACCATGTTCTAAGAGCAGGATTTTCCCTCATCTTTTTCTCTTGACCCTTCAGTCTACTGAGAGCATTTTGATAACTGTATGGAAAAGAAATTTCATCTTCCTTCCATAACAGTCCAATTTCATATTGCCCATTTTCATATTTAAGGGTGTTCTCCATAATTTCTTTTGCTCTTTTATCTTGTTTTGAGATTAGTGGTGCAACTGGAGCTTTGACTCCAAATTCTTCGGTAGAAAAATAATTATACATCAATTCTTTGAACGACCTTTCTTCACTGCCATCGTCACTTTTGATTATCATAACGAATTCCGCTTGTTTATTCTTAAGTTTTTCAGATCCATGTATAACCCAACCAATTCTAGTTTTATTAGCAATTGGTTCATTGAATTTTCCTGCACGTGAATCTAAAGCTTGTATTAAATAAGCATGTGGTAAACCTAAAAGAAGTTTTGGCGATTCATTCTTGTAATCGCTGAACTCAATATCATTAAGATATGAATATCGACTGATCAATTCATTCTTATTGATAGATTGTGTAGGTAGAGACATCCTCTTAATCGTCTGTACATTATTTAGAAGATATGTTTTGCCTCCTAATCCTTTAATTCGTACAGATATTTCTTCGCTATCTGTGTCCTCTTGCTCTGTACCATTTGTCCAAGACAATGTTAATGGTTTATTTTCTCCCTGTATACCGAGTTCTTGTTTTACGTCTTCTAAAATTAAGGATACTGACGATCCTTGATCTAAGAATGCCAAAACGTTTATACGCTTATCACCATTCTGCAACGTTACAGGTATAATCTGATAATATATTTTTCCTTTTTTCTTTTCGTGGAAGTTTAATTGTTTGACTTCAGGCATTTTTGAAGATTGACTACCTGTTGATTCCTTAATTTCAGGAACCAATGAAAACTTTTGTACATTTTCATGTAACAATGGATGATGCTTTATCTTACATCCATTTACATTACATCCTTTTGAACTAAAACAGTTCTTTGCTTGATGATTTGAAAAATTACAACAAGCAAAACAAGCCCTTTGCTTAGCAATTATTTCCCTTCTTTTGCCCACATTCAACTTCAAGAATAAAGGACATTCTGTTGTTTTGTGCTGTTTATTGCATGCAAAACAAGGTACGTATTTTTTTTTCATGTTCAAAATTCATGTGCGTATTGATGCGATCTTTATGTTTAATCTGTTTTTCTTCTTTCACAACAATTGATGACAATTCTTGTGCTATTCTTTGTTGAGGTTGCAACCACTTCTTCAGATCTTCTAATGTTGGTGGTTGATAAGGATTTAATACTGTTGCTTTATCTTTACGCTCCAGCTCCTTCTTTACCCAATCTTGTCGTAGATTGAATGGTAATTTGTCTAAAAGTTCGTCTATGAAACTTTGATCATATAAATATCCATCTGTTTCCATTAGTTGAATATTGGTTACTAGATTATCTATAGCAGTAACAAATTCTATCATCGTTTTGGGATTATCCATTCTTGGATTCTTTAAATTTACGACTTCTTTCCTGAGAAGTTTATAGATTTTTTTGTGTATTTCCAAAGTTTGTCTTTAACGTTTCCATTATTTTGTCAACATTTTTGCTGTCCAATAACAGTGGTTCAACAATTTTCAGAGCATCTCCTTTCAGATGTTTCTGAAGACGAGTCAAATTTTCTAAATTAGAAAATCCTCCTTCCTTTGTAGTTTCAGAAAATGGAGTTTCAAATTTCGACCACATTTTGAATGATCCATCAAAATAAGGCAAATCCATCAGAGATTGCCTTGCAATAATTTTTAACATTTTATCCGATTTGTCAGATGAGCATCCACTAGCAGAATTCTGACTGAATGTTGTCGACTTGAGGCTGTCAACTAGCTCTTTCATAAAAGATTGATGAGAATTCATCAATTCCAAATTTTGTTTAGTTTGAGTATTTTCAGAGGTTCGCTTAAAGGCTTGAATCTCCTTTTCCAGTTCCTGAATGTGTTTCAACGATTGTGTGCATTTTGGGCACGACCAAAACTCTGTTTTAGTTGGAGTATGATCGAGCCTCACACAAGGAATGTGGAACCATCTGTCGCACTCATCGCAACAGACCATGGTATCCATGTTAGCCTTGTCACATAATTGACAATGGCCATTTTTATTTTGAACGTATTTTATCTTTGATGCCATAATTAATATACAATTTTCCTTACCTTATAAGTAAAAATATCTATATATATTTTTATGCTAAACGCCTAACTCCACCGTCCGTTGCGTTCTTGAGTTTCGATCCTGGTTTGTTGATAATGCCTAGTTCGACCGTCCGTCGCGTCCTAGGGCTTTCGATCCTTGTTTGTTGATAATGCCTATTTTGACCGTCCGTCGCGTCCTAGGGCTTTCGATCCTTGTTTGTTGATAATGCCTAGTTCGACAGTTCGTCGCGTCCTAGGGCTTTTGATTCTGGATTGTTGATACACCAAAATCTTCTGTCTAGGTGTTTTAGTCCGTAACTAGGACTGTGCACACTCTCAAAAGTTCAAATCGCTTTCGTCCTTAACTAGGACTATTTGTTACAATTCACTTCCAAGCCCGTAACTAGGACTTTTTGCTCACAAATCACGTAGTTACAAATCCGTAACTAGGATTATCACTTTAGTTCACGGTTATTTTCAAGTCCGTAACTAGGACTGCTTCACTTCACACCAAAGAACTATTGCCTTGCAAACTCCTCTCTGGAGCCACCATTAAAATGTGTCAGTCGACACCAAACTGATTTAAACAAAATAAAGGAGTTCTTTTAGTTCCTTAATCAACCTCTCACCGTGAACTTTTCTAGTGTACTTATTTATTTCTTAAAAAATATAGGTTTATATAGATTTTCTTAAAGCTAAACAATACAAATGTTCTACCTACTATTATTTTACGGCGTCCTCATCGGGAACAACGGCTGGGTTTTATTATCTCGTCTATGCTTATTCTCTATTCGAGCTACCCGCTCATGGTGTATTTTGAAAAATAACAAAGGCCGATTTATTTCACATGTTTCTGTTGCCTGATTTTATTTCCCTGTCTGCCACGTCATTCCAAAAGTCTAGACATAATAAACACAGGATTTTCCAGACTGGACGATCTACATGTGGTCTGTCAGCGACAGGAGGTCTTCTGGTGATATGCTTTTAGCGCATTAAACACATCGCGAGCATAAACACAGTTTTTCACCAGGGGAAGCTGGCTGTCTGCCAGCAACAGCACAAGCACAGACAAACAGACATAACACATTGAATATTTCTCACTGTAAAACATCGTCGCTAAAACATTACCGCCATCTGTTGAGTACACTGTTGTAGGTAGTACGCTGAACAGATGGCGGTAGTGTGTAAACGTCAAACGCAAGGGAATTGACTATGCGCGCCACAGGTGGCGGTACTACCAACTACGATACTTTTAAATTGACCGTTAAATGCTTGTTCGATGAACAACTAGCGAGTGTTATGTCTGTTTGTCTGTGGCACAAGTGTCGCTTTTGCTTTTCTGTCGGACGCTTTCCAAACCACACTACGACCCGCTTCGGTGGGTATTTCACTCGCGACAGCATCCCACAGGTCTTCTCGGCACAACAAATTTTCCACACGCACTTTCCACGTAGCCCAATTCGTCCCATTGAGCTTGGGAATCGAAAATTTTGCGTCGGCCATGTCGAGTTGATTTTCTTCACCTCACACGCACAACAAAATGGTACCCGTTCGAGAACACGAGCCTTCCACGCTGTTCTTTTTCTGCTCCTCGCACACGCGGCGGCCTAAAAAAAGCGCCGATCCGAAATTGGCAAACTTTTCATCAAATCTTCACACCGATCCCGCTGGGCTCATAACCTGACGGCAAAGTCAGAGTCACCGAAGTGGAAAAACAGCGTATGGGATTCGGAGTGGACAGCAGAAATAATGCACATGCGAGAACTACGGCTTAAAACTCGGAAACGTTTTATTGCGGTCAAAAATAGAAAACGAACTTGTCGCGAGAAGCGCTTGGTTTGAACTGAAAAATTGTTTACACTTTACACTCTCTCTTGTGCTGTGGTCGGTACAAGGTCTGTAGCGCACGAAGGTATGCGCTGCTGCAAGGGGTGTGTATAATCGTAGCCATTGCAACCTTCCACAGATTGTACTATAGAGATAACTCCAACAATCAATACGAAACTATCGATTTCAAATTGGCTCACTACTTGACTAGCCTATTGGTCCTAAGCAATTATATTAACGGACCCCATTCTAGTCGAAATTCTAGAACTACACTATGTTTGTTTTGATTCGCTATGAAAGTGAGACAGATTAAATGAGGGGTTCGTGGATTTTCCTATGTTTTGACGGGTGCATCGATTAGCTTGGGACCGAAGATAGTACCAGTGCTGAGCCAAAAAGTTGAACACATTTCTTCGGGACCTTCTGGTCTTAGAGTTACCTCTATGGAAAAAACCGACGTACCATGGAAATTTGCCAATAAAAATGTGTCGAATTTTATGAGCGTAGATAAGAACTTCCTTTATAAAAATGTGTGCCGAAAATAGCCGTGGTTATCAAAAGTGAAAATTAATGAAGAAAATCGATCAATGCAGATAAGACCTTTTGAAGAATTCATCTAGACATACGTGACCATTCGGGTCATTCAAGTTTGTGTGGTGGATCACAATCCTCTGCTTCCCACTGCTCTTTCGATCGGTAATGAGGTTCCCAACAACTATGTCAAATTTGGTAAGGATCTGCATTTGCGGGAGAGCTTTAAAGTTTTTATGGGAAAATTTCCATAGAAAATAGGCAGTATGCCATTAAGCCAACCATTATATTTATTTTCACATAAAATACAAATCAGTTTGATACATAAATACATTAATCGAATAATTGGCACCATCACACATAGATTTATCTCATTCTATTCTCCTAAGTGAATTTCGGCTCGACCCACCAGGTTCCTGCCTTCCTTATTCGTCCTACTAGTTAACGCTCGGACTATTGGGCAGATACATCTCCGAGTCCGCATTCTTCTCCGACTTCTCCATTTGCGTGTAGGACGGATCGTGTGGCTTGGTCATGATTCCGAGGCTCTGCTGCAGCTGCCAGCGGCGTGCTTCCCTCAATGACTTGGTTCGTCGAATCGTGCGAGCCAGCATGAAGGCACAGATGCTTCCCATGATTTGAACGAAAGCAACGGTAGTGGCTCCGGTAGCAATCAGGGCAGCACTTTCGGACACGACCCACTGCAAACGAGAATAGCAACCGTACTCGAAGGGAATGCACGATTCATCCAGTGTCGATCGTTGACAGCATGATTTCGGCAGTTCAATGCTTTCCGTTGCATTTGGTAGGAAAAACTTCCAATCCTGGTAGCCTTCCACGCCACAGCATTCCAGCTGGGAAATTGTTCGGAAGAGTGTCATTAATATTTACAAAATCATAAGCATGCTGCATTGAAACCTACCACTTGTTGCATGAAATCAACGGACTGAGCCACGTTCGGATTGCCGTTGTAGCTGGCCATAGATTCGTTGATAGTTCGACGTACCATTTCCTCGACTTGTCCTCGCAGTGCGAACGCTGAAATGGCAGTCGCCACTTCCAGAATGAAAACGATTGCCAGCAGAACACCGTACTGGAAATGAGAACCATAGGTTTAGTGGCCAATCGATAGTGTGCTCAATTATAACCGATCGTACAATGTTGATCATTGCGGTGCTCTCCTTAACGGCTCCGATGCAGCCAAAGATCGACACGAACATCATGATGAATCCGATTGCAACCAACAGGTGAGCCGGCGAGAAGAAGTGCGCATCGATGAAATACTCAAAATCACCGAATATCGTTCCGATGGCAGTTCCCACGGTGACGATGAGGATCGCAGTGAGCTGAAATTATGGAAATATTGAATTGTGTGTGTATGTGTGTATTCAGTTTAACCATAGAGGCAGCTATGCATAGCATAGCAACATAGCAGGTTTAACCCTCACTGGCCGGCAGGGGTATTGTGGAATAAATCTACTTGCAATAATCCTTGAGGTGACGAAAGATACTGCAACCCATTTCAGAATGCCAGGTTCACTGTACTGTGACCTCGACTGTGACAATGCGAAGGGAAAATCTATTAATAGAATCGATCATCGCAGTTAGGCCCTTATGATTCTGAATGCTAGATATAGAAAGCAGAAAGCGAGCAAAGGACAATTTTGAGGAATGTACGAATCCGATCGAGCATCCCTTTTACCAAACTCACCCGTTGTTGAGAGGCGGTGACCACCACTGGCAAAAGGAAGGATAGCCGATTCGCTCATGTACCTCCAATGTGCGGAAACACCCCTCACCAACGGGTGAGTTTGGTAAAAGGGATGCTCGATCCGATTCGTACTTTCCTCAAAATTTTCCTTTGCTCGCTTTCTACTTTCTATATACATGCCGTACTATAACGGAACTATCAATTCTCTACTTTCATCTCCTCATCTATAGTATAAAATGTTCACTTTAAGCAAAGACTACATATCAAGAAGACTGGCAACTCTTCCATTCCTCAGAAGAAAGGTTTGTTTATTTGCTCACTTTTCTAGCGCAGCGCTACTGTATCTGTCGCTTGGATTATGGCAAAGTGGCCAGATGCCTTCGCTTTAAGTCTGATATTGACGTTAAGCATCTCCAAATAGGTAGAACTCTTTTTGTTAAAAGGCTATAGCAGCACAACAATGCAGACATTTTCGGAATGATGTGTTTTGCGATGATCTAGGACGTACAAATTATTGTGGAGTTTTGATCTTCATATTTTCAGCTTCAACATAAACGTACAGATGTATATTTAATCCAAAGATGTGTAGACAAAAATACTCATAGAGCTTAAACACATGATATGAAATTAGAAACTGCTTAAAGCAAGGCATAATAAGTTCTCCACATCGTCCTGGAGAATTGACCATGCTCATCGAAATTTTGCTCTATGTCCCAACTAAATAAATTAATCCGTAGAATTTCGTGAGACGTCATATCAGCGTGTGAGATTTAGAAGTGTATTAACAAAATATCATGGATTCTCCATATCATTCTGCAGTTCAGATCTTGGTATTCTCATCATGTCTTAGGTTCTTCAAAGTGCCTGAAGTTCAGATTTGAAGTAGGCTCAACCAGGTATTGTGTAAGTATTTCGGGGTCCCAAATTATCCTGCAGTTTATATCTTGAACTTTCTACGATGCCCTAAGTTAGTATACGAATCCATAAGACCTTCGTGGGAACTTATCACATCATGTGGGACATAATGTTTAATTTTCCGTCTTCCTCGGGGTGTCAGTTGACGTTTAGATTGAATATATATAAATATATTTTAATAATTGTATTAGTTTGTTTTTCTGTCACCGCAAACTAATTATAATGCATGGAGACTTGTTTCTCCATATCTTGTTTTGTTGGTAAGTTGGAAGATAACCGCAGATAACAAATAAATTTAGTCTATGACTACTATTCCTAACGCATGCGTTATATAGGGGACTCACTAACACGTCAGACGTATAGACAGACAGTAGGGTACGCCATCCAGAGATAAGGGAAAATAGATCGCAATTTTATTGCTCATGATTTTTCCGCTGTCTAATTATCCCCTTCAAGCATCCAACTGTTGGATTGATATCGAATTAATGTGTAATACTCACCAGGAACAGGAAATTGATGACAAATATAATGTACTTGATACATCTCATCCCCTTGTTGAGATCGTTTCGGTCGGTCACCATTTTTGCCAGTCAAATTTCCGGAACACGATCCCTGAAATTTGTACAGTCCAGCGCCTTTTAAGGTTGAATATCGCCTTACCAGCAGCAAGTTCACAAATCTGGAATTTATTTCACTCAAATTAAAACTGATACGACTTAAGGGCACCTGAATTACTTACGGAATGGCGAACGGATGGACTCGGTTCTTTCTTTTGCAGCGACAAATCGTACAATGCTGGCATACTTGAGCGAGGGTTTCTGTCGGTGTATTTTGCGATATCTTATCAGCACTGCCAATGAGTGCAGGTACTTTTTGTGATAGCAAAATGCTATGGGGAGACGCTTAAAACGCCATTAAAACACCTGAAGCCGCACTGAGTTGAGTCAACCGATTTCTTTCAAGGGTTTTACAAGTAGTGTTCGCGACAAGTGCAGGGAATGAATCGATTGGTTCGAACAATTAATTTGATTCATGTTCATGTTGCATAGAGTTACAACTCCAAAAAGGTACAACTCATTGAACGGTTTCCATTCTACAATACAGTCATTGTCATTAGTTCAAAAATACGTTAAGGTTAAACCAAAGACAAACAGACATAATTCTTAGAAGAAAATTCTTCATAAAATATCGTCCAGCGTATTTTGCATGCATACTAGCACCCTCTATCATGCACATTCCGAAGCATTGTTTAGCAACCGGAGCATCCCTTGTTCATTCAATTTTTTCACTAGTTGCTTTTCCCTCGTTCTGTTAACGCGTCAGCTGTGTAAAAACAAAAGAGATGGAAGTCAGTGATGTCGGTTCTACGAAATTTTCCGTAGATCTATAGAATAAATTGATTGAATTTTGCAGAAATACGGATCCACAGACAAACAGACGTAACTCTTCACTGTGTATCTTTGTTCACGCATTTAACAGTTGATTTGAATATTATCAGTTCCGCAAACTGCTCGCCGCAGCGCTGGCATCTGATCACTTTGACGTTTCTATACATTCTATTGAACTTTTATACAATATTGTTTGCGAATTACCGAGCAAGCTTGTTTTCCGCGAGAAACCCGAGAGATGTCGTTACTAGGGTCCTATGATTTGAGATACTATGTTTTCAAGAATTTTTTTTTAAAAGAGTTACGTCTGTTTGTCTGTGACGGATCCGTAGGAGAAATCGAGGGGGGCGACACATATAAATCTCAATTTTAGATACTCAAAAAATTTCACACTAGCGAATCAATCTTCGAAAAATCTTCTTGCATTTCTCGCATCTACTTGCATCGCGCATCATCTTTTTGCAGGAAATCTTCAGAATCGTCATCAATCTTCTTTCTATCTACTCAGCGTGCAAGCAGCTAGCAACAACACAACACAATCTTTCCTGCAGCGTAGATAGAGTCATCCCCCTCGGGAGAAATTCACAAAAGCTCAGGGATTTGTTTTGATTGTTAGGTGTGATTTTTTTTTGCTGGAAAAAAGTTTTTAAACGTGGTAATGCATCACTAATGAGTGCCCTTTCTACCACCGCTCATCACTTTAATGTGAACAAAGTAAACAATATGTATCAATTAATGTTATTCATTATGTATTGAACACCAGTTGCCAACTAAAACCTTATTTTCGAAGAATGTGATGGTGAGTGCTATCGCTATGTCTGTTTGTCTGTGTTTAAACTGTACATAATGCTATTCATATGTAGGATTTCTCTTAAATAAAGATAAAAAAAAGTAGGATTTTACAATTTAAGCCAAAATTTTAACCTTTAGCGTTGGCGTTAGCGTTGTTATGATATACTTCGTAGATTGGATACTAGCGACACTCACGTCTCTTCTGAAATTCTCAGTTAGGATACTTTCAGGAATAATGCTGGGGAGTAAACATTGGTTCCAATCTAAACAAGAGTAACAGAAGCATGACTGTCGCTATTCCCGGCCTCGCCCATCTTTACCATAACTAGGGATAGGGAAGGAAATGTTGATGTAGTACTTACTTAACGAGAGGCCTCCGACTTAGCGTCACCCTCATAAGTGCTACGGAGTTGGAGGGTTGGGTAGGGTATTCGGTTAGGATTCACCTCAAGTTGGCGATGCAACCAAAAGTATGTATTGTTTATTTGTTGTTTATTTAACCTCTCGATAGCCGGTTATCGAAAGAACATATTCATTTTGTTTAGTAATCATGAATTTTAAGAGTCATGACGGAGAGCTTGGGATTAAACCCATGATTTTCTGCTCAGTAAGCAAAAATGATCCCTTCAGGGTCATCGAGCATCTCAGAACCATAACGCTTCGCGACAATACAGGACTACGTTTTCGCTTGATATGCAAATAGTTTCCGAGGTTAATGTTCAATATCAAATATACAAATGATGGTGGCGATTTATTGTGCTGTGACCCTCCAGGGTCATCGAGCATCTCATAATCCACAGCGCTTCGCGTCAAAGTACAAATATATGGATGAACTATTTATTTTGGAATAATTATTATTTACGATAATTACATGAAAGAAATAAAATATAAACTACAAACAAAACGTGACTACTAAAATCTCAAAAAGATATTCTCACAAATATATTTCACGCAACCAAGAATCTCAAAACCATTAGACGCTATAATGATACTCTGTACATTAGACTGATGCAAAATTTGAAATTTTCGCTCCACAGTGCTCATTCGGTTCCAAATTGGGCCCTGATTAGCATCCCAAAATTTGAACTCATTTAGTGAGAAACTGACTTGGCACAAACCATTTGAAGTTTATATGGGAATTACTATGAAGAAACCATAATTTCGGTTCATATCTATCTCCAAATTCACCAGTTCACTCTGCTTTAGAAAATAATAGCTGAGCTTGTTGAAAATTATCTCAGCTACAACTTTGTTCAAGACCAGTTTTCGATCAAATGTAAGGAACAAAAGTTATTAATGATTCAAGTCACTAATGTCTTATGATTATGCTTAATCAACTGTTCAGCAGGCAACATTGGTGTTTATGGCACGTAGAATAGAGGACAAAAATCAAGGCTACTATGTCACTCTGTAGGGTCCAGTGTTGCCCACAATACAGTTGCTTAATCTTGCCATAAGATTATCAATCTCTTAAACAATTAATAACTATTTAATTTGACGTTTGGCTGAAAAACAATTTTCTACAAAGTTGTAGCTGATAAAAATTCTCATAAGAATAGCAATAGAAGTTGTTAAAAGTACAATATGTAAAAAGGCTAAAAGACAAGGAACAAAATGTTTTGTTTTCGCATAGTAATTTCCATACAAACTTCAAATGGTTTGTGCCAAGTCAATTTCTTATCGAATGAGTTTAAACTTTCGGACGCTAATTAGGACCCGATTTGAAATTGTTTGAACACCGTGGAGCGAGAATTTCAAATTTTGCATCAGTCTACTGTACATGTTAGACACAAGAAGAGGCCAAAAAGCAAGCGTCCAACACACAAAACCCGCCAGATCCACTTGCAGTCACAATCAACGATTCTACGAATCGCGAGCGCTCACGAATCATAAAACCGCTGACTGCGACACTCTGAAAGCGAAATTGACAGACTTTATGCGTCAAACACCCACCCTCCAATCTCCTCCCGCATCCAACAACACAAATCTCCATTACAACATCTAACGAATTCAAAACTCCGAAAATCACTCATCTATAGCAAGTGAGTGGAAGCAACCCTGCATGCAACCATTCTTCATGATACACTTTTTCTGCCTATCTTTCTATTATGCCTGTGGACATGCGTTAGCTTCGAAACTTCTAACCAAACTGGGAAAATTTCCAGATCACAAAAAATAACTTGAAAAAAACTTTCAAAGGTAAGTAAAATAAATATTGATTATTTTACGCAAAAACGAGCAAGTAATATTAAATCTCTTGTATCGTATGCTAATGTTAATTGACTGTAACAAAAATAATATGCTTAAATAAAATAAAGTAATAATAAAATTATATGCTTTATTGGTGAGAAGTTTCTAATAATACAGAACAAATCTGATACTATAATCAGTTTGCTCAGTCTGCATGAAGCAGCCGATTGCATCAAGGAAGTTCTATTAACAACCAAGAATGATTAATGATTGAGGCATACTGAAGCATTAAGAAGGTGATATGTGTCACTATAGGAAATCATCATCGTTGCAAATATAAAGAAATTAAACATAACCCTTCGCTTCAGTACCGTCAACCTCCATGTCCATGGGGAGGGTAAGTCAAAATTTTAGCTTTTACTAAGCTCAAATGGCCCTGGATATGTTTCATGTGTGGTAAATTTATTGCATCTGCTCTAGGTGATACAAAGTTCAGGATCACAAAACAATGTCCATAATCAATCTGTTGATTTCTTGAATAATTGATACATTTGGTAGTTTGTTACCTACTAAGGTCAACTATCCATTAATATGACATTTCTGCCGGTTGACACGCTTGATTTCACTAAATTTTCGTGTCACTCTTGATTTAGAAACTAAAAACAAAACAATACCTAAAAAGGGGTATCATTGATAATGAGGGTAACTTTGATAGTATAATATAAAGATTAAATTTACTCGCTGCGCTTTTTCTAAATTAGAATTATTGGTTTCATATTGTAGCTTAGGGTGTTTCCGTTGTAATTGTATATAGTTTTTACATAGTATGTTTTACATATTTTACAAACATATTAAAAAACAATTTTCGTATTTTCACCTGTTTGAAAAAGCATTCAAACCATCACTTATGAAATGTATTTCCGATACAGCCATCACAAGTTCAATGTTGTATTCTTATTGCTTATGAAGTTTTCTGATTATATACTCATTCAAAGTTCCATATTTAAATAACTAAAATGTTTGAGTTTCACGCATTTTTTCTACATTCATCGAGCATTATCAAAGTAACCCCAAATCAAAATACTGATGTTCGGTAACAAAACTAAAAAATAGTGCAAATGCTTTAATTCCCGTTAAACAAACTACTAATGTATTAACTCTTGGATCCTCAGTACTTGTTTTAAAAATATAAAATATGAAAAATATTCATTGCTGCAAAAAATATTTAGAATATGCTTTAAAAAATTATCAATGTTAGCCCGTTTTACGGTACTAGGGTTACTATCCTGTTAAATTCCCATCCTGGACCACT